GTTTTGAGTATTGATTATTTACACTCCGAAGTGATACACTGGAGTGAATATTTAACAGCAACAACCCTCCGTTTTGAAATTCGACTAGTCATCTTGGAAAATGAAAGATTAAATTGTATAATAAGGTTAGATGAAAGTTATGAGTAAGATTAAGGTTAAGTTGTCAGACTGAGTATCTGTGGTTGTTTTATGAACTCTGAATGGATCAAGGGCAGAAATTTAAGGTTAAAAGTGTTGTATGATGGAATGAAAACTGCCCTACCCATAAGGAATATTTCAAAATACTGAGTTACCATGTAAACTCTTGTTGTGAGTATTCTTCTGCTGGAGTCAAAGTAAATAAAAGAGGAGAATATGAAATTACCTTTAAAATGATCTCCATCACCTACTTTCAGAAGACCTTGGACAGCTGATCATGTTCGCTAAAACAAATATATGCCTTACTTAGTGAGTGCCAATTGGCCAGGCCATATGCTGGGTACTTTGTGTACATTATCTCTAATACATTAAGCTTCAACTGATCACTGCAGGTTTAGAATTCCTATCCATCTATGTCAGTTATTAAGTCAAACATTTTAGAATTCATATTTCAGTTTGTTTTTTCAACAATGCAATTCCTCAAGTGAACTTTCACTTTCTCAGTCTCTGCTGACAAGCACTTCAGAATGGTTACTCCATATTTTTTTCAAATTCACAAATTAGTACTTTTGTGGATATACAGCTGTCTTGTGAACACACCAAAGTGATATTTATTATGTTTTCTCTATAGCTTGAGACTTCACAACAGAAATAAAATCATCAAGGGAAGGAGAGGGATATTGTGAACTTTCCTTGACTATTTACTTCATCTTGTTTGTCTTTCAGTGTTCATGACTATTCTCTACTCCATGCTTTTTTTTTTTTTTAACTTTGTTGACTTTAATGAGATGTAGCAAATTTGGTACAGAGAGGTAAAACCTATTCTGATATCAGGTTACTATGTTAAAATTTAATTTGATATAACTGTGTGTAAGTTAAAATGACAAGGAAATGAAATATATGACACTAGATATATATTAAGTTTCAGGACAGGGCTGGCGCCGCGGCTCACTAGGCTAATCCTCCACCTTGCGGCGCCGGCACACCGGGTTCTAGTCCCGGTCGGGCCGTCGGATTCTGTCCCGGTTGCCCCTCTTCTAGGCCAGCTCTCTGCTGTGGCCAGGGAGTGCAGTGGAGGATGGCCCAAGTCCTTGAGCCCTGCACCCCATGGGAGACCAGGAGAAGCACCTGGCTCCTGCCATCGGATCAGCGCGGTGCGCCGGCCGCAGCGTGCTGGCCGCCGCGGCCATTGGAGGGTGAACCAAGGGCAAAGGAAACCTTTCTCTCTGTCTCTCTCTCTCTCACTGTCCACTCTGCCTGTCAAAAAAAAAAAGTTTCAGGACAGATAACATGAATTTACACATTCAGCCTGCACTCCATGGGGGCTTTACAATGCCCTCCTAATTCACAATATTAATTCTCCAGAAGCTTGACATTCCAACCAGAAAAACACTACTGGCAAACACTAACAAAAAAAATCCCCCCTTATAAATGTCTAAAAATGAATTACATATTTTCATGTTTGTTATTATCAAGGCAATTTTAAAGGAAAATAATGATAAACATACATATTCGTATCTCCAGTACAATAGTTTGTACTTGAAAAAGAAGGGATAAAATAACTCGCTTCAGGAGCATTTTTGAATCTGCTCTGCAGGTGAATCATATCACACTTTGCATTTTTGATTTTACACTATTCGCAAATAATATTTTTGTTGCTGAGCAAGTATAGTTTGGATCAAGGAAAATGTTTCAGGATTAAAAATTTAAAGGGTTTTAAAAGCAGAAATGTTAGAAATAATTTTTAAGAGATCAGTTGTTCTTTTGGAAGTGCATTCTGAGAGTTGTTGGGGGAAGGGCTCTTTGGGACATCACCCATGAGCAGCAGGAACACAGGATTCCAAAGAGGAAGGAGCCAGACTGAGATGCAGTCAGAAGCAGGACCTCAGTGTGGTCTAGTTCCTATGAGGAACTTTAGAGATGACACAGAGCAGAGTTTTCTTGAGGCAAAGGGGCCAAGCCTTTAAACTCCTGCATTAATCCCTGGTTGCACTGGGGCTGCTCACCCCTCCACTAGAGAGTCGCCTTAGGTGAGGTGGCCCCCCTTGGCCCAGGGAAATTTATGAAGAGGGTCTCAAGGAAAGGCCAATTGCTTCCAGAATCCCAAGAAACTGGAACAATGACTGCCTCAGTTGTGAGAGGTCTCTGGAAAGAACCCCCCAGCATCTACCACACCTGTATTTGCATGGCAAACAGGCACCGAATGTGCACTTACATGTCCTCTGCCCTCCTATGGTCTTGAAGATTCTTCTTCAAACAAGTGGGAAGAGAAGAGCTTACGAATTTCCCCCAACTTTCCAAAGTTTTGTGATTCTCCATTGATGTTTTTTAATCTCCTATGAAGAAAACTCCATTTATAATACTGAGGGCTTAAAATCTAAATATGATTGAAATACACACCCTGTAGTAGGAAAGAGAAGAATTAAAATGAACTGGTAATTACATTAATGTACTTTTATTCTTTGTTCTTCTCAACATGCTACATAAAAATAAGCCCAACCTATTCTATTTTTTAAAACATTTATTTTTAATACTTTATTTTGAAAGGCAGAGAGAGAGAGAGAGAGCAAGCAAGCAGTAGCTAGACTTGGGCCAGGCTGAAGCCAGGAGCCTCAAATTCCATCCTGGTCTCCTATGGATGGCAGGGACCCAAGTACTTGCGCCATCTTCTGCTTCCTTTTCAAGCACATTAGTGGGAAGTTAGATTGGAGGTGGAGCAGCAAGTACTCTGATATGTGATGGGGTTGCAAGAGGCTTAGTCCTCTCGACTCAATGCCAACCTCTTGAGCTGTTCATTAACTTATTTGGATATCTTGAACTAAAGAAGGGCCAAAATTACAATAATAGAATATATCTCTGCTAAATTGCATTCTTACTATTTTGAGTATGGGATGTTTCTTTGAATGCAACATAAACAACTAAAACACTTACAAACACATATTTTTTCTTGATATAATATTATGTTAGCCCTTACCTAATTTCTGAAGTCTTAAAGTCAAACAAAATGATGCATGTTTATGAATATTCTTTGCAAATAATGACAGAATATGGATGGAAACAGTTTAAATTTATTGATGCTCACTATTTGCATACATGTTAGAAAACACCATTGATTTCAACCGAAACTTATTTTACTACTGAATTTTTTAAAGAGGTACCAACAAAAATTTATTTTGGTTCTTCAAACTTTTTATTAAAAGAGAACCTTTTACCAATACTAAACTCAGGATGAGTCTATCACCAAAGTTTTATGAATGCCCTCTAGAAAAGGTTACACCTCCACACTCAATACACCACCAGGTAGGCAATAAAATATGTTTATAGCATGTCCCAGTGAATACAGACTTGCTGTATTTTGCTTTTATCTCTCTTTGTTTTCACATCTGCCCTGATTCCCTGGTTTGTACTACTTTCATAAAAATTGTTTTGTTGATTCGAACTACTGTTACTGGCCTTGCGGTTGTTAAGGAATATTTCAAGAGGGAAGCTAAAACACTGGGGAAAATACTGTTCTTGTCCATTTGACTCCAGCTGATTTTATACCTGCAAGTAGGAGGGCTGACGGTTCTTGTGTATGGTTAATTAAATCCTGTGCTGATGGCTTCTGTTATAGGTATTAAGTTATCCACCTTGTTAGCAGATCCTCTAGCCCAATAGGACTGGATCTTTTACTGAGAAACCATTTTCCAAATATTTGCTGGGCCTGGGGAAAGGACTGAGGGCAGGGTGATGATCTTTGTGTAGTTATCGAGAGTGGGTTTTGATGTCTGTTAAGGTAATTCCTGTGGGCCTTACTCTGCTATTTTTAAAGCCAGTGGCAGGCACGTACATGGCACAGACAGGAACCTGTCTTCTCCATGCTATTTTCCTGAATGCCTTTCTGTGAGAAAGGAAAAATCTCACTACATTTTGTTTTCCTAAGGCTTCTTGGATTCTCACCAGCAGGTTTATACAGTCTGTTGCTTGTCTCTCAGATTAGAAGAATGCTGGCATATTTTAACAGTTTCCTAGGATTCAGACAGCCTTTAATTAACAGCAAATTGATGTTTTGGAATATTACCAAAATTTTGGAAACTGAACACTGAGGATGAGCTCCGGCCCTCCAGCTTCTGTGTGGTGGAGTCCTATCCCAGGGAGCTGCTCCCTTGCAAACAGCTGGCCACCTACGGATATACATAGGGGTGTCTTTGTGGGCATAATGTTCCCTTTGCCTCTTCATTGGTGGCCCTCTATCCCACCTTCTCATGGCCAGGTGGAGCCAGGTAGTCATTGAATTGTCAGAGCTTTGGGGGTGCTGCTGAACATCCCAGAGATTGTCCAGATTGTAGCACTGGGTTTGCTGGTTTTAATACTCCAGTGAGCAGGGCAGTAAGGTGTGGCTGCCTGTGTTTGTGGTTAAGTTTCTTTTCTGTGCCAAGTTCATGTCATCTTGCTGCCAGAGTTTGGGATGTGATGGAAAAGAGCAGTTCTGTAAAATAATCACTCAGATTTGATGTGTAAGTTGGAGCAGGTTAGTTTTCAAGGAGGGATGGGTGATCAGCATTGGGGGTTTTCCAAGAGACCTTTGTTACAGGTTATTGCTGACCCAATCCGGAGCTCTAGGCAGCAAAACAATGAGTTTGAAGTGTTGGCTGCTACTTAGAACCAGATAGTTAAAATCCAAGGAAAAGAGAACAGCTCAACTAACTCCCTGTGCCTGATGGCAAATCTGCTTACTGGCCAGCACCCAGTGGAAGTCAATTGACTCCATGTCTTGTTTTTTCCAGTAACCTACAAAGCTGTGCTTTTTGTCTCAGAAGAGACCTTGGTGGTTTTTCCATGCCTGGTGTCCTTGATTGCCCGCTTTGCTCTCGTCTCCACAGGTGGTACGTGCCAGAGTCCTGCTCTCCCAGCCCTGGTTCGTCCACCAGCCCCTCCTTTGCAACCATCGCTGGATATTAAACCATTTCTTCCCTTTCCTCTTGACACTGCGGCCGCAGTCAACCTCTTCCCCAACTTCAATGCGGTAAGTACAACAGCCAAGTTTGCATCTGCCACTGTGGTGGGTTCTAGAAAACCTTCGAGGCTAGTGGTAACTTGGTTACTGTCTCTGTTTTGCTGGTGTGCTTATTCTATGGGTTGTCTAAAAACCATGGTAAAACTTGTTGTCTGTTCTGTTGGGTTATGTAAAGCCCTCAAAGCCAGCCTTCTCAAGGGAATGTGAAGAGGGATTCAATCCAATGAAGTTGATCATGAGTTGATGTCTCCCCGTGAGGGTCTTTTGCTATTTTGTTGGAATACATACACATTGAGCTCACCGTATTTGTTAGAGAGAACACTAAAAGTCAGACATCTAAGAAATTAATGTATGTTTCTTCTGAGTCTTGTACTTTAATCAAATCTGTTACTTCTTTTCTAATTTAATAAATAATATTCAGAATGATCATAGTTATTTTTCAATTCTATTTTTTTTTCTCCTTAAAACAACACACAACTCTAGAAGGGAGAGTCTTAATTTTTTCTTTCATGTCCTACTATAGTTACTCAAGTTAAGTGTTTCTTAAATGATTTTGTTTCTTTGGACTTTGTCAACAACTTCCTCAGCACAATTTTAATTGCTTTCTTGCCTCTAGTTTCACTTTTTAAGATGTTTTTTACATTGGCAGATCCATATTCATCACCATCTTCTTTTGTGAAAACACTGAGTGTATTCTTAGGATAGAAATTGAAATAAGGATTGAAAAGATTATAAATGAGTAAGTGACATTTTTGGAATATCACCTGATTAAGCTTTCAGCAGGTGCTGTAATGCAGGTCTGAGCATATCAATGACAGGAAATGTCAACAGATACAAAACAAAGAGATTTAAGATGAGAGGTCATTGGATGCCCAGTGATATAAATAATATAGACTGCTTATGGCAACATCTTGCTTCCATGGCAGATTTAAAAAAATAATTCTTCTCACAATTAATTCATTCTCTTTCAGATTATTTCTTTAACAGTCTTTCATCTTAGGGACTTTAGGTATGCCAGTGACACAGGACAATTTTTGTGCTAGTCATTGCTAAAAGGTAAGGGGGGTTCAAATAAGGTCATTTTGCTTTTTAGAAGATAAGAACTTTTCCCTAAGAACCTTGTGTTGAAGTTTTTGGAACATGAATAGGGCAGCATAAAGATACATTTATAAAATATAGAATTCTAATCCTAGATACTTCAATCAAAGTAGAGAAAAATTTGCTGGGCATCCAGGCCTCGTATCTGAAATGACTACATTACAGTCCTCAGGGGTCCACCCCCTGCTCTCCTTGCTGCTCTTCTGTTCCGTGGCTTCCTGGCTCCAGGAGATGATCCAGCAAGGAGCTTCCCTGGCCTTGGCTACTGCTTGGCATCCTGTCAGTCAGGACCATGTCAGCTTTAGAACAGTTTGGGTAAGATTCCTTGAAGGTTGTAAAAGGATAGGTTTAAACCTTTTGATTTCCCATTTGGGAAACATTAAAAGCAGAATGATGAATTTGATTGACAGTGACTATTGTTTGTCATAAAACAATGATGAGTGATCGGCTGAGCTGTGTGACACTGAGTGAATCTCTTTACCTTCTTAGCTGCTGTTACCTCCTTTCAAAAGAGACAGAATGAACCTGATAGTCTTTTTCTTTGGGGAATTATGCCACTCAAAGATTTGAGCTTTCTCGTGTGGGCAAGGGCAGCTTTGTGTGGTGGTCAAGCTGAGCTCTGTAGCTGGAGTGACAAGTTCAAACCCCAGGACTGCCTCTTACTTTCCATATGCCCTTAGGTAGGTCCCATAATTCCCACATACCCCCATGAAGTGGGGCTAATAATATATTTCACCTGTGCAATAGGACAAATAAAATAACATCCTGTGTGAGCGTGCAGTAGTGATCATGTGACTTGAATCATTTAGAATGTAGTTCAGAATATAACAAGCACTATTTAAGTGACAGGCATCATATTTTTAAGTAGCTTGTAAATCCTTCTGATTTTGAATGTGCAGTTCATTGACAAGGTGATTGCAAAAACTTAGCTTGATTATTTTTCTCCTGTCATGGATTTTGGCTGTGTTGATATTTGTTCTGCTTGAACCCGGAGCCCATTGCTGCTACATTTACTGCATATTCCATGGTCGTTCCCTTCCAGAGCTGGCATACCGCAGCCAGCCAAGGATGGAGCCACTCTTCCTTCCAGCTAAGGAGAGCTCTTTGACAACCCAGAAGCAGGTGACATCAGATTCAGAATTACAGCACAAAGCATCTCTCCAAGTAAAAGCCCATGTTCTCGATTTGATAGCGTCTGCGAACTTGAATCCACACAAGTCAGGGCATTTGAGATGTAACACTTATCATTATGAATTGACTTTATTTCTGGTGGAGGGAAATCCAACTAATTTTGTTTCAATTTGTGCTGATTCTAACAGAGTGTCCAGATTTGAGTGGTAGACTTCCTTTTGTCATGAAGTTATGTATCCATCTGGGAAATCACAGTGTGGTCAGCACCCACTAGGTTCCGAATTTTTATGCCATGCTTAGGACACACAAATTTTGCAAGGGTGCCAATAGCCCCTCTTGCCAAGATCCACTGCAGAGAATTTACTTCTGGGCCAAGAAAGCAATGAAGTACTCTCTCACCCCATGGCTCTCACCCATTTGAGCTTTGGGAAACAAAGTTCATGATGACCAAGGATTATCTCCCTGCTACATTGTTCCCCTGAGGGTATACGGATGGAACTGCCCATCTCTTTGGGGTAGAAGTATGAAGGAAACTGTTAAAACATGTCTGTAAGTTAAAATATATAAAAATGTAAGTGGCTATCTGATTATGATCCTTCCACAAGAGCATAACCCACTGGGTTTGGGAGTGAGTCAGGAGGAATAATGAAGAGTCTACAAAAGTAAGTACATTTAGTTGGGAAAGTAGATAGATGTAGGACCCTGGCTTGGATCTGGATACAGAAAAGGACAATTAGTGAAGCTATCAGATCCTTGGATGTCCTCACGGACAACTTTTAAGGAGTCACAAGAGCAGCTGTCTCCTTGACCCAGAAGTGTGCCATCCCTGGAAGCTCTAGTAGCTCACATGAAAGAAAGATTTCCTTGAATTCTTCACTACCCTTCCCCCAAAACACCCCCCCCCCAATACTGCCTTCAGTCTCTGAAGACAGCACAGTTTCAGTGCTTAAAGCCACTCTGATCCCCTGTGACTTCATTCTGGATCTGCATTTCTTGAAAGGAACCAGTTCTTATTGTAGACAGGCAATGTTGAGAGAAGAAATATTAGGAAGTAGCATGAGCATATCCATTCAGTCCGTGGCTATTTATTAAGCATTTACTGTGAGCCAGAAATAGAGATTAAAAAAAAGATTATCTATAGAAGTGAAATTGACACTTTGAGATGCAATGATTTTGAACAGCCCTTGTGAGGACTATTGAGGAAAAGTTGTGTTTTTTTTTTTTTTTTTCATACCATTTGTTGAACTCTTGACTTAGTATAGAATTAATCATATGTGTATAGTTAGTTGAAAATAGATCTTAGTAATAAATAAGGATGAGAACAGGAGATGGAGGAGGAAGAGGGGTATGAATGTAGGTAAGAGGGTGGGTATGGTGGGAAGAATCACTATGTTCCTAAAGTTGTACTTATGAAATGCATGAAGTTTGTATTCCTTTTTTTAAAGATTTATTTTATGAGTTACAGAGAGAGGTAGAGCCAGAGAGAGAGAGAGAGAGAGGTCTGCTGGCTCACTCCCCAAATGACCACAATGGCCAGAGCTGAGCTGAGCTGATCCAAAACCAGGAGCCAGATTTTTCCTGGTCTCCCACACAGGTGCAGGAGCCCAAGGAGTTGGGCCATCTTCCACAGCTTTCCCAGGCCACAGCAGAGAGCCAGATTGGAAGAGGAACAGCCAGGATTCAAACCAGCGCCCACGTGGGATGCCAGCACTGCAGGCTGGGGCCTTAACCCACTGCACCACAGTCCCAGCCCCTGTATTCCTTAAATAAAAGGTTTCTGGGGAAAAAATTATGCTGTGACCCTTGCCATGAAAATCAGTTTGTAAAGGAGAAGTTGACAAAGAAATATTTATGGTTGTGTGAGTGTTTTTCTAGAGAAAAATGTATAGGATAGAACAAAAGCTTAGTGACAGCAGTGCACTGCTGTTAGGTATTTTAAATGAGGGTTTGTGAGAAAATAGAAACTATTCTTGAAATTCAAGCGGAAAAGAATTTAATATAAGGACTTAAATGCTTACACAGCCTTGGAGTGCTGGACGAATGTGAAGATCCGAGAAGGCTGATGCTGTCTCTCAGTGTTTCTGCTTATTGTCGTGGAGTCAGGCAGTTGCAGAGTCCCAGGGCACCCAGCAATCATAGTTGCTTTCATCCAAATCCCATGAGATGCCTCTCTTTAGTGGAATCTGATAAGCCTGCACCTGCTGGCAGGAATACTTGGCTACAAACTCCTGGGGGCTGCCTGTGCCTGTGGGGGTGGGGGGAGGATGCTGCGCAGAGCTATCCACAGGAGACCTCACTCTGGCAGGATGGAAAACCCTGAATTGTCTGCATCCAGGGGCGGAAGGATAAATCCACTGGAGCCTCTGTGTCCCGTGTCATTAAGTGAGAATAATTAAACCTCCCTTAGGTTCATTAGTAGAGATATAGCTGGATTTTAAATGTTGGCAATTGAAGCTGAGAAGGGGTTTGGGCAAGATCTTGGGATGTTGTTTATAAAGTGAGCTGATCACTAATAAATGGCTGTATCCCTTGATAGTTTTCTCCCAGGATCCCAAAGCTTCCCTTTTGATCTTTTGTCCTCTGACCCACAATTATGACAGGATACCTTCAAAATGTCATCGAAAAGGTACAACATAGGAGAGAGAGCAGCTATGGAGACTGACTCTGGTTCCAGGTCCCTCTCCCTGTGGCTGTGTTTCCTGTTGGCTCAAGCATTAGATGAAGTAAACTGAACTAATGAGTCTGCATATGCCAGATACGCAGTGAGTTTTAACTCCTCC